AACTGTGTCAAGCCAGGAGGCTTTTTCCTTGTCATTTTATATTATATCAACACACATAAAATTCACATACTACACCTTTAGAGTATCACAGGTTGATATTACTGTAATAAACCAATGAAGAAAGTCAAAATACACAATTTTGATTCAGAGAAGTTGCTCAAATAGAAGAAAACAACATCAATGATTTTATTTCAATCTGATGAACCACTGTTTTTGGATTAACTGTGGTCAAATTTAAGTAGACTCCACTGTCCACTGCATTCCAGGCATCAGATAAAAGAAGAAGCAGATAAAAGAAAAAAAATACAAGTCAAAATTTACCCTACACAACATTATGACATTTTTGTATAAAAGTGAGGTAAGTATTTTATGTAGGCAATTTGTGAGTGAGTGTGGGAGATGGCCCTAGCAATTCAGACCATTCACTGGGATGATTATAACACTTTGATGAAATTCATCACTGAGAAAAAACATCTAACATGGCCGAGCAGCTGTCAGCCTTGCTGTGTTTCACTTGCCTTCTCGGATCTTCTGTACCTGCTTGGGTCCAAACTTTTTCAACAACCTGAGTAAGAAAGGAGACAATACATAGTCATTACTGAGTACCTCAAAAAGAATACCAGGGCCTGTATGCACGTTGGTCCATACAGTGGACTAATTGCATTTATCCCCTATACGGGCATATAGGCTGGAAAAATCTGTATTCGCATCAATCTGGTTAGCCTATCCTATACGGATTTACGCGTTTAAAAGTTATCACACCTTTGGGGGTCCGATAGCGGACCTAAACGCATGTAAATATGGTTGTACTTTTGTTTTTCCAAGCATGACAACAGCGTCTTCTACGAAGAAACAGGATTTTCAGTGAACGTACTAATCCCTTTGACACGTGCGACGACAGAGAAGTGTTTTGCAAGCTCCTATTTCGTCGGGAGCACATCCTGAATTTCCTCAGTTCTGAAGTTTGCTTTTCTGACCCTTTTCCAGACTTTCTCCGCCATGCTGCACAGTTCAGAAACTCCCACGAGTAGTTGGAAACCGAATGTCCGAAAGCACACAGTGACAGCGGAGCAGGTTTGCCCAGATTGGGTTCGCCCAGTAATCTATAAATACATCTCACCTTGCACCTTGCATTTAGCTACACATTTCCGTTCAACACGATGTGCATACAAAATCCAGTTAGGGATTATACACGGTTAGGGTCCGTATAGCTGACCGCTTTTACTTTTAAGCTAACCAGTCCTGACGTGAATACAGGCCCAAGTGTCGGCTTAAAAACTCATTTATCTCGAACTAAGTGAGCAAGAGCACGGATACTTGTTCCCTAAACTCTGTCCAACATTTCCATTGGCTTTACTTCTTAATTTTTCTCAGGATTTTCTTCAAAGAGCTACCTTTTCATCTTTCCAGATACCTGATCCGTCAACGTCTAATATTTCACACAGTCTATGATTATGTGGTTTTATTACTCTTACTAGTCTTACAACATAAGATGAAATTGTCGACGTAATGCTGATATTGTTGATTTTGAGTTTCACTTTCCAGTTACAAGCCATTCTATAACCCTCTTAGCACCATAAATAGGGCAGCAGGTCAGCACAGCAGAACCAAAATGGCGCCCAGCTGATGGCTTCCCATTTACTTTACTTTACTTTTATCCACCGCTTATGCCCTCTAAGCGCTTCACAATCTATACTATAACCCCAGCAGACCTGAGAGCATTCTAAAACAACCTCAAAAATAGCGCTAAAACACTAACATAGGCCTACTGACACAATCTTTCGCTGTCTATGGCCAGATACCCATTTTTACCTGGGTGAAGTGAGGAAAATCCACATAAAGTGCCTTTCCCAAGGACGCAACGTTGGGCCCGCAACCTCACGACTACAAGTCTGGTAGCCTAACCACTGTCCCGACAACTCCTAAATATCCGTGTTATACTGTAAATGGAGTTAAATGCAAAGAGATGCCTTGATCAGTACCAGTATAGGAATTTCTCAGCCATCTTATCCATCTTAACTCACTTGCGACTGGGCCCTTTCACCAGTCACAAGCGTTGAAGACTGGCGTTTTTGGGGGTATTTCAATAAATCACCACAACTCTCAGAATTACCCTATTGTAATCATTTTTTGACACAGTAAAGTAACATTCAAGCTTAATCTAATACAAAAAACGAAAGTTGTCTAAATCTAATGCTTTAATTTGTATGATTTTTTAAAAATTGGCATGAATTTCATTTTCCGAAAAATTTCCAGAGACGTGACAAGTACAATGAAATTCACTGCAACAACAAAAATAAAAATTCAAAGTGTTCTGGTTTGATTTGTATACATGTGCGAGTGTTTGGTTAAAATATAAAAGCTGGTCTGTTGATTCAGACCCATACACTGAATTACATGAGACAGATGTACAGCACGACGTTGTGATTTCGTTGCGCGAAAAACACCACCGGTACTAGTGCTAGATCTAGCCCTAGAACTACGACTCAGGCCGTGTTCAGGTACATATCCTGGATCCTAACTATTAGACATATCCTATTCTGAGACACTAGAACTAGTAAAACGCACAGAAGTATAGAAAACGGCGAAATTATGTGATTCTTGTTCATGCGACTTCTTCGACCGTTACTTCGACGCGACTGTCGGATTACTATCAGCTGTATAGAAAAAAACAAAGCGCGAGTTCCGGTCTGTTCAACCCCAGTTGGGGTCACTGTCCTTCACCTTCAATAATTTAAAAACTACCGGCCCCAGAGATACGAAACGAAGTCTAAGTAGCTCAGGCTTGGCCAAACAAGGGTACGAGGCGGGTCTCGCGATCCGTGCGTGATTTGTAGAGCGAAAAAAAAATTCCAAAGTTGGTCACGCAGGACTTGTGAGACCCGTCGCGAGCGTCGCGGCGGGGGTCACGCAACTGTTGTGTGACCCGTCTGAAGTGAGTTAAATCTATAGTAAAATTTTGGCCACATCGTACCATCTTCCCAAGACAGGGGCATACTGTATGATGTAAGCGGTCAGCAGAACGGGCTGTTGCATGATCCAGGCCTCTGATACCTGGTTGGCCATGGCCACACATGACAGATAGGCGCATCGACTTGTGCTCATCCTTTTTTGTGTCTTCTCCATTCGAAGGCCCAGAGTCTGAAACAAAATTGTCCCAAAAAAAAGGGTGCTAAATTCATGCTTATACTTCAGTTGGCAAGTACGTGTAGTTCAATACAGAATTAGCAATTAGGGAAATACGGGGTATAACTTTTCAATCAGCTATTAACATTCACTTTAAGTAAATTCAAGTGTCCAAGGCACAGCATTTGGCTAACCAATTGATTCGACCGCCTAAGTGCCATGAGACAAATTTTTCAGGAGAAGCAAAACACTGTTTTATTTCTTTATGCTCGTGCCTATGAATCTGAAATTGAGATCTGTAATATATTATGACGTTGCCGAGGACGAAAAAGTTTTCCTCTCAACAGCAAGCTCCATGCACTTTACAATCTATAGTATAGTACACAGACATATTATATAAACACAAAAATAATTCACAGACATGCATGCACATAGACAATTCACATACATGATACATGCATGCACATAGACAATTCACATACATGATACATGCATGCACATAGACAATTCACATACATGATACATGCATGCACATAGACAATTCACATACATGATACATGCATGCACATAGACAATTCACATACATGATACATGCATGCACATAGACAATTCACATACATGATACATGCATGCACATAGACAATTCACATACATGATACATGCATGCACATAGACAATTCACATACATGATACATGCATGCACATAGACAATTCACATACATGATACCTGCATGCGCATAGACAATTCACATACATGATACCTGCATGCACATAGACAATTCACATACATGATACATGCATGCACATAGACAATTCACATACATGATACATGCATGCACATAGACAATTCACATACATGATACATGCATGCACATAGACAATTCACATACATGATACCTGCATGCGCATAGACAATTCACATACATGATACCTGCATGCACATAGACAATTCACATACATGATACATGCATGCACATAGACAATTCACATACATGATACATGCATGCACACAGACAATTCACATACATGATACATGCATGCACACAGACAATTCACATACATGATACATGCATGCACACAGACAATTCACATACATGATACATGCATGCACACAGACAATTCACATACATGATACATGCATGCACACAGACAATTCACATACATGATACATGCATGCACATAGACAATTCACATACATGATACATGCATGCACATAGACAATTCACATACATGATACATGCATGCACATAGACAATTCACATACATGATACATGCATGCACATAGACAATTCACATACATGATACATGCATGCATCTTTTTATTATTATTTATTATTGATATTATTATCACTATTTTAAACAGCTGTTGTGCCAGACAATTCAAAGAAGAAGATGAGCCTCACCTCTCCCAACCTCTCGGTGGCTGCCGTCAGATAGAGCTGAGAGAACGTCGGACCGGGGCAGATCAGCGTCACCTCAATATTTTTCCCTGCCATTTCAGTGCGCAAACTTTCAAAGTATCCCTAGGAAAGAGAAGTAAACATTATGAACAATGTTTTTAAGGAAAAACACTGAGCTTTTAGTCAGTTCTTAAAAGTTCTAAACATGAAACAATAGACAAAATACAATGGATATTCTTTTTTTTTTTACATAGTAGACGATTTTACGGTGCTTGCAACTGCATAAGGTCATATGAGCGCCAATGGATATTCTGAGTGAATAAAAATGCTCCTTTCTTACTTCAGTTTCCACATTGACTTAATAAGCATCGCATCAAAACCATCAGCAAAGATTATTTCTTGGAGACACTGAATCTGTCAAAAAACGGGACGTCTGTGAATTTTCTTTGAGTTTATAATATGTCAGAATAATTTCTGTAGTGTGTGTTTCAAGTAATATATTTGTGTGTAAGTCTCTGTATTACTCTGCACGTACATGTCTGTGAATATTTTTGTGTGTTTATACATGTTTTATTATCTTTGTGTGTTCATGTCTACGTATTATTTTTGTGCAGTTATGCCTGAATATTATTTTTGTATGTTCCTTCATGTGTATTAGTTTTTTATGTATACATCTGGGCCGCCCGGCACAAAACTCCTATGCGCCTCGCTGGCGTTTACGAGTTATATGCCCGACGGCTTTTGCCCAGTTGGAGATAGGTTTTTTGCTTGTGTTTTAATGTACTTATTTTTCACCAGTGTCAAATATTGTTTGACTGGGACATACTGCATGTTAAACTGAAACTTGTAAGCTAAAAAAGTAAATTAAGAAAATTTGGCCACTTAGTAGGTTTTCAGTTTAGTTTTAGTAAGGATTTATGGCGCTCGCAACAGCATAAGGTCATATGAGCGCCAAGGGGTGGATGTCAACAGAGAAGTTCAAACGGGGAATCAGGCTTACTCTGCTCACCTCTCTAGCCTCAACAGCACAAAGTCTGCTTCGACTATCAAGGCATCAAGGTATTCGACAAACATACAAAAGAAGTAGAGAAAAAATGACGATAGTACGGATGAGGAAAGATAAAGCAGCAGTTCCCCCTATGTTGTTCCTGCACAGTATGAGCATGACATTGATAAATCAGTCCATTTACAATTCTACTGTGCATAAGAACATGTTAGTACCCCATCCCCACTTTGGGAATGGCCTAAAGACACTTCAGTCAGTAGACAAGAAAATCTGAGCCTGCAAATTCGGACAACAATCTGACTTCACATGACCACATAGCAAAACATACAAGTTTTAGTTTTTAGTAAGAGTTTTACGGCACTTGCAAAATAAGTAGATCATATAACTACCAAAAATAAGAGGTGTTGCTAGAGAGTACCATACAAAGTAAAGGGAGGAGAGATAAGGACGATGGATGTTATTTAGTTTTAGTAAGAGTTTTACTGCACTTGCAACACAATTAGGTCAAATAAGTGCCAAAGATTAGTGGCGTTACAAGAGAGTAACATACTCAAAAAAAAAGAAGGAAAAGTGATAAAGATGATATATATTTGATATAAGAAAGCAGGAGAAAACCACACCAGAGCACCTGCCAACCACCCACAGAGATGTTTGAAGGGAAAAAAGAAGCCACCAACAGAGCACTCGCCAAAATATACAAAAGTGGAAAAATCAAGGATAACGTTACATGTATGGCGTGCTTGCTTCCTGTGTAAGATCTGGCCCCTGGGAGACCTGGGGAGGTACAGAAAGGAAAACGGTTCATCACTTGAAGAAGCACATTTTGGATTCCATCCAGGAACTCAAAGATAACCAAGAAGCTCTACTATGCTGTAAAGTGGAAAAAGCCACTCATCATTAGTATTGTCTTCACTGTTCCCTTTAAAATCCCCCACTTCAGAGTACCCAACAGAATTATCACAAAAGTAAAATGTCATCTGCGGTCAGAATGTTTTTCTCATAAGATGTCCATCCAGAGAGCATCAATTTGGAAGACATGGACAAAGGAGAATAGGCCATCTCTTTGTTTTAACATAATAGATTCCATCTTCATTTTTTTTTTTTTGGTAAGTGTTTTACGACGCTCATAACTGCATAAGGTCATACGAGTGTGATGGACACATTTAACATTTTCAGTTGGTAGGACATTTTGAATTTTGCCCAGGTGGTTGCCGAAGCCTACTCTTATTGATTTTTAGACCACCAATGGCTCTTTAACATGTGCAACTTGCACACGGGACCTCCAAGATTTTTCGCCCTTGTCCGAGAAGGCTAGCTGTAGATCTTTCCTACCAGAAGATCAGGGGTATGGCTGAAAGACAGCAGTAAGAAGGAGCCAAGGAGTAGCAGTAGAAGGGTTGCAGACAGAGTCGAAAGCGGGACCTTCGAATGAGAAGCGAACACCTTAACATCTAGGCCAGTAGAGCCCCCTTCTATCTCTTTGTTCTAACATCATGGATTCCATCTTTTTGTTTTCAGCTTGTAGAAATCAGGTCAACAGAAATAGTAAAATCCAAAAGTGCTGCACCAGTCTTTTTATCTTTTATCCTCTTCATCAATTCATGTGTGAGAGTAAGTGTGCGTGTGTAAGCTAAACTATGTGTGCATATACATGACAATTTACGTATTTGAGTGTGATCATGATTGTATTCATGTTTTTCTCTCTCCTCACTCCTTGCAACCCTCTCTCCTATCTCTATCCTTTATTTCTTCATTAAATCAGATTACGCCATATCATGTCCATGAGAAACTACAATCACAATTGTCCTAGACCGCCACCCATTGTGAGAGAGAAATGTGGTTGTGTTAACTCTTTATCTCCGAGGGAGGCAAACCCACTACCCCGGGGCACATTTTGGTACAAAATCGAAAAATGACAAAAAGTCACTAAATGGGTCATTAAATCAAAAGAAGTTGAACCTATTTTGATAGTTCTTTATCTATTAATGAATGAACTCCTGGTAAAAGAAACCTGTTTTCTTCATTGCTGAAAAGTGATTTGATGTCGAAGTCGTCGTAAAGGAATGTGCCCAAGCCGCTGTCAGCAGCTCACCGGCACGGGGGATTCGACCACGAGCTGCTGGGAGCAGCTTGCAGGTGATAAAAGAGTTAAAAAGATAGATGTCTTGAACTGTGTCGATATATCATAGAAAAAAACACAAGGGGGGGGAGAAGTGGTCATTTGTACAAGTGATTGTCTTGGACAGGTGGCTGTTAGAGAAGGTTCACTGGGAGTGAATGATGAGCCTGCAAGATGGTGCTCCCACCAGCTGCCACCCAGGGATGTCAGTCTACCAACCGACAAACCGAGACGTCAGCCGCAGAACATGTCGACCCACCTGGAACGCCAGGACCTCAACGAACAAGTCTCCTGGGACATTTCAGCAACCCATGTTCAGCACTTTTTAAGGACCTCCGAGCAAGTGTTGAGTTCTTCCGTGCTGTCGGCATCACTGACCACTTATGATGCCGCAGCACCAGAAAGGAGAGAGAGAGAGAGCAGGTTCGACTGCATTGATATAATACAACATCACTGACCCATTTTCCCGGCCATACTGCTGGTAACGACGATTTGTCCCCCTCCACGTTTGATCATGTGTGGCACAACCTCCTGAGACAGAGAGACTGGTCCAAGAACGTTGGTCTCAAACAGTTCTCGGTCCACGTCAAGTTCTACCTTGATCCACTCGGCAAACTGACCACGGGCGGCGTTATTCACCAGGATGTCGATCTGACCAGGAAGAAAGTTTTAGATCTCTTTAAATTATCAAAATATGTCATGTGACAGAAAGAAGGTTTAGGACTACCTTTGAAGATATGTAGAATTATACTTTCTCCATACTAACACTAAAAGAAATCTTGACATGGATCCATCACTAAAGATCATACTATCACAATAATACAAACAGACAAGGAGACCACAGGTGACAGGAAAAGGAAAGAATGGGCTTACACATACACAACATTGTGTTGATGAGTCAACTTTTTAAAAAAAGTTTTAGTAAGAGTTTTACGGCACTTGCAACGCAATAAGGAAATATAAGTGCTGAAGATTAGAGGTGTTCAAGAGAGTAACAAACATGAAATAGAAGGAGGACGATAGATGTTTGATAGGAAAGAAGGAGCAAACCACACCAGAGCACCCGCCAACCACCCATGTTGATGAGTCAACTGTGTACATAAGATGCACAATGGGTGTAACACCAAACAACTTAGTTGAAAATGAATGACTTCAGTAGGCCTATCTATTCCCACGGAAAAGAGAATAAAAGGGCAAAAATAAGATTATAAATTTCGTCTGATAAATTGACGTTCTTTCAAACTCCGCTTAAAAATTAAACTTTCTCAACACTAAAACTAAAATACCTTGAGATGGATCGATCACTAAACACCATATCATGATAATAATAAATATATTCTTTAAAAGGAAAAGAGCCACTCTCTACCGATTACAAAGATTTAAATCTCACAATAACTATAAACTTTACATTTCATATGAGAGTGGATGAACCATTGAAAGGACCTTTAACTCATTATCTCCGAGGGGAGTAAACCCCCTATGCCGCGGCTCTTTTTTGGTACAAAATCTAAAAATGACAAAAACATCACTAAATGGATCATTAAATCAAAATGAGTGAACTTATTTTGATAGTTCTTTGTCTAATGAATGAAATCCCGATAAAAGAGACCTGTTTTCGGCAATTGCCGAAAAGTAATTTGATGTTGAAGTCGTCTTAAAGGAATGTGCCCGAGCCACTGTCTGTGGCTCGCCAGCACAGTGGTTCCGACCACGAGCCACCGGGAGCGGCTTGCCGGAGACAAAGAGTCAATATTGTTTTGCTTAAGTTTTATCTCTTGCTCTCATCAATACCTGACCAAAATGTTCCAACACTGTCTGCACTGCCTCCCGGTGTTTATGAAAATGGACCACATCTAATGGCAAAACCAGAATGTTTTTCTCCAGAGCAGCACTGTTTGGTCCTGAAATATACCACCATTGTAAGATCAATCAATCTTCTGGAGGAATAGCAAACTGCTCAAATATATACACAGAAATCAGCTGGTCAAAACTAAAATGTCACAAAAAATTTAACTTAATAATTCAATTACTTTAACACCCCCCCCCCCCCCCCCCCCCCCCCCCGGATGTCAAAGGTTGACATTCATACAAGCTTTACTTTACTTTACTTTTCCGATCCAAGGGCCAATTGAGTTCTAGCCCTTCGGCCTGACGATATGGCAAAGAATTTACAGGTTTTTACCAGCTGTGTTTAGTCGTTGTATAGAGTATTTCCGATGTCTGGGGAGGCAGGTAGGTAGGTACTACGCAGGTCCTTAAGTGCAGGGCAGGTAAAGAGGTGGTGTGATACTGTTTTCATCACATTCGTACTTGATGAATTCCTTATTCCACAAAAACAACCTTGAGCACCCTCAGACTAGGGGTGTTAAAAAACATGTCAACGCACTCATTTCTCACCATGTTTGCCTACCTCAATAAGAGCCTCGCTAGTTATCCTGGGGTCACACCCAACAGGCTCGCTGCCTTCAAGGTTATCTGAGTAGTCCTCTCACCCGTCCAATTTATTTCGGTTATTTGGAGGGAAATCCCAACATACGCCTTCCAAATGCATGTTATTATATTTTAGTCTAGACGCATCAGACAATTTAGTTCCAATATTGATTTGTGACAATGCTTCAAAATGTGATAATACGTATGTATATTTAATCATATGTAAGGATTTTACAATATCTATTTTATGTGTGTATATA